TATTTCTTCCAGAGAAGGCCTACATCAATCTCAAATACCTGTACCGAAGAAGATAATTTTAAAAATGCTAACATTTTTTTTTTTTTAATTACAGGCTAGTGTCATTGAACTGTTTTTTTTTTTTAAAGCATTCATGTAGCCATCTGTATAGAGGCTGCATTGCTGACCTTTTATTTTATTTATATTTATTTATTTGCAGACTACACCTGCAGGTGCATTTGAAATATCAAGTGTGTGTTCACTTTTATTTAATCCATAGAGCCTGGTAACCTGTCTGGAAGCTTCCACAGTCAGAGCTTTATGACTTTGTAATATCATGATAGCAGATAAAGTGATGTGTACAAAAATGAGTTTCCAGGCAAAAAGGAAAGTTACAAAAATGTGCAAAACTTTAAAGAGTGATTAATAGTGATTATCATGCCACTATTTGGAAACTGCTACAGTCTGTGGGCCCTGTGCCCAAAGGTGTCACAGATGTTTAAAGAAGATACCTTATAAGGTGCGCCTTGCACAATGAGGCTGGTGAGATCATTCAAATTAAAACTTTAAATGTGTTTGCCAGCCTTGTAACGATATTTTAGAAATATCCACATTTGTCAACATCACGCTTGAAATTGTATTACAGGCAACTTCCTCTGATGATGAAAACCCCTATGACAAAAATATACACAATGTTTTTATCATATTACACAAGCTGGTTGTCAGTGTTTGATATTGTGTTGAAACGTCCATTTTTAATAATTTTTTTGTGAACAAAGCCTTCGGTTTGTTTCCTTTTCCTCGTGTTTCATTTCCTCTGATTGTTTTCCTCTCTGAAAGGATCTAGAAACCTTCTTTGTTTGCTTTGGCAAGGTGCGTAGTGGATAAATATTTGATATGTGAGCTAAAGCGAGATGTAGGTCACTCTTAATTTTGGAAATCTTAATCAACCACAATGATAAAAGTATTTTAACAAGCAGTTTAAATACAACAGAAGGCCACCATGATGTGGCTGGAAACGAGAGACAGAGCGACAGAGATTTAAGGGTGAACATGTTGCTGCTGTCAGGAAAAGGTGCTGAGCAAAAATCCTTTCTTCTAAATTCCACACCGCCGGTACTTGAACTAAACAGGGTAATTGATTTGTTTTTTGTTTGTTTTCCAGAACAACAGCCTGCTCCCCGTCAGCAAACAGCACCCGTTAGCACTCGTGCCAGAGACAAAGTGAGGAAAACTCTGGAAAAACAAAACACTGCATTTGGATTCATGGCAACCAGGATAATTTTACACTCTGTTCTTTATACCAAGCATGTTTCAGAGCCAAAGCATTCAATAAAGTTTATTTTGTTTTTTCCTCCTTAAAGATAACAAAAAGAATCATATTGCATTACTTAGGAAATAATGATTTGTGTACATATTTGTAGAACATAGAAATTTTTTAAAATCCAAAATGACTGCCATCTTCTGGGTGAATATACAAATGAGAATCCCGATGAGGCTTATACCAAAAAGCGTGCCCATTGTTTATTCCCTCTGTGGACTAGAGCGGAGGTCAGAGGGAAAGAAAAACGATCTCCCCGAGGATCTGTTCAGATGACGGAGGGGGTCGATCTCTGGAACAGATGAGACACATCTCAATGTTTACAGAGGATCTTCTTACAGCCTCTGAACCTTGGTTTTCCCAAGTAGTATGCAAAGTTTTTCTTGCAGAAGATGCTGCTATGGTGATGAATTAGCAGCAATGAGCTGAAGTTACTGCATATTTAGTACGTTGACCCCTAATATTTTTGTCAACAGAAGAAAGATCTAAAAGGAAATATGGATCTAAAATTGACTCTTAGTTTTTTATATGCTTTCCCCCCCCCCTCTTTTAAGTCATTTATAATAACATCATGGTTAAATTCTACAGAGCTAATGGCTAATCTGTCTATAATTTGCTAGGCTTTAGCCATTTAAAAAAGAAACGTCTTCATTTAAATGCAGAATTATACCATAACATTTAAATTATTATGTACATCCCGGTGGAGAAAATTTTGTTTGTTTGTTTTTAAAAGAGAGGCTCTAAAGGTGTTTTTACACCTGCATTTAGTGGGATCAATAATACACACAGTACAAAGCAACTTTAAGGGACCCGAAATTGAACCTTGAGGTACACCGCTGACTTTTTTTTTTAATGTTTTCTTTGGACTGAGTCAAAAATCTCCTCAAATGCATGTTTTTCTTTTTGTCCAAGATCATTAATAGTTCTCTAGTTTTATTTGTTGTCACCTCATTAATCATATGTAGAGGAGAAAAAAAAGATTCAGCTGATCTCAGTTAAATACATAAGAACCCACGGTGACACAGGTGTCACTGCCTCTTTACACACTGAGAAGTTTCTGTTAAAGTTTCAAAACTGACTCTCCCATAGTTTTCCTCACAGTAAAAATGGGTCCGAGCTCTTATGGGTTAAGCTTTAATTGCTTTCAGTCTTTGAGTCATTATTTCCCACATGTGGTATTTACACTGATTTTTGCTTTTATTTATTTATTTTTTCTTGGACCTCTGCGGTAAATCTTTTTTATTAATTCTGTGTTGAAACCCAGATAACAGTGAATGTTCGGCCCCACATCTGCAGTTTTCTGTGGGCTCTGACTGATGACATGGACTCCGGGTGTGCCTCTGCTCAGGCGCAAGTTCACTTTATTTGCGCCAGCTGTCAGGTGGATTGTGATATTAGGGTCGTGTCTAGACCACACAACACTTCCCCGTGGCATAACTGGAGCCGATGGTGGCTCACATTAGGCCTGGATGTTTCTACTACACGGGCATCTTTCTCCAGGATAATATAACATCCCATCTGTTGCACCAAAAGGTGGCCGAGAGCTGGGGCGGGGGGGCAAAAATTCATGTAATTTCGCTATATTGGAAATCCCCCCCCCCTTCCCTTAGTTGATCATTAAACCAAGCTACAGAGCCATATTGTAGTACTTTAAATATTTAAACACTGCTAATCCATCAAACACGGACAGCCATGTATTGTGAAATGTGCCCCTTTTCTGTTACAGCAAGTTAATGTTGACTTTTAAAATTGCACCTCCGTGGTGTTTTGTTTATTATGCTTTGAGTCTCTAAGAACACTACTAGCTGCAGGGTGAACAATCTGGCAGTGCAAAGCACCTGTCAAGGACCTCCTTAGGACTTTATTACACAGTTAAACGCTTTTTCTTATATCACTGTTAGGGGTGATTTCTGCTCTCAATTAGTATTTGCGTTTTTCAAATTATTCTTTATAAGGGTACCTCCTCCTCAGCACGCTGATATCTCATGTGCCTTTGTATTGATGTTGCCAAAATGCAATATTGACGCATTAACGTGCTATTTCACTCCTCAGTTTACTTTATTGCACTTGTCCTGTGTCCAAGGATAGCATTTCTTAAGTGCATTGTAACTAGACACACACACACGCACACACACACACACACACACACACACAAAACACACCTGGGGAAACATTCCTCGAGGGAAGTCATCAATCAGTTTTATGTCTTTCTCTGGGAAAGTTTCCTCCTCTCCAATCAAGCGTCTTCCCTCCTCCCTCCCTCCACTTTCTCGTTCCTATATTTCCATCTGTATCAGTTTTGCCTCACATCTGAGAACGATCCACTCCACCAAATTAACTTCAGCTATTTTTCCTATTTCACCAAGGGGATAGCGAGATCTTTGCCTGGATGACGAGATAAGACTACTGCAACTGAACTTTGTCTGCACCCCTCAATTTACCTGCCAATGCTAATAAACCTGAAGGAGGAGAATCCATGCAGTGCAAAAAAAGAGAAAAGAAAAGGCATCCTTAACAAACCATGAAATGCTGAGCTGAGTCTTAAAAATTGTAGTTTTCTACTAAACAAAAAAAATCTGGAATAATGGCAAAGGTCAACCTGTTTGTATTTATAGGGAGCTGTGTCATGTCTCCTGCTGCATGACGTAACACTACAAAACTATAAACTACAGAAAGCACAAACATATTATGAAAAAATGCACGAGTATCATAAGTATGATAAATGGGAGTTGGCTACTAATGGGCTAATTTGAGATATTTTGATCTCTGGTTTAATTTAAAGTGTCGTTTGCAAACTCATCTCATGTTTTGGATGTCAAATCTTAGTCTCCAATGCACTCAGTAACTGGCCAACAAAATAAAAGAGTACAAATGCGAACACATAACTCACAACTAAAACAGCAGTGCAAATGTAACTAACACGCCTGCAACTGATGGAGCTGTTGTCAGAAAAGAACTAAACTCCTCACCTGACAACAGAACAAAGAAGTGTGTCTTCTATCTGCAGGCCCTATAAATAAAATCAGACTCCAAAAAAGGTTCTGCTCCTGAAAGAAGAACAAAGAAGAAAAGGTGTTTCTTTGAGCCAGTGAAGGCAACCAGAAATCAAAAGCTACGTTTGACTAAAAATATTCCCACAGTGAGAAAAAAGAAAACCTATGGAGTTCATCTGCAGTAAACAAATCACACAACAACACGACAAATGCCCTGCTTAATGCACTTGTGCACACAGAGGGGGTTTGTGTGGCTACTTTCCATTTCTATTCTTACATCAAATGCTCTTTCGTCCTGTTTCAAAACAACTTTTGATTATTTTAAGATATTTACTGAAAGCATGCACTGGTGCAGAAAACCTTTTACATAACTATTTATATAATCAGTGATTAACTGGAAATATACAGGTTGTTAGCATAGAATGGTGGGCGTCAACACTGGACTTTCCCACAAAAAAGAAAAGTAAATGTTATCCAAACATTTGAAGCTGATACCAGCAGAACACTTAGCAGTAAAACAAGTGTTTAAAGAATAAAGCTTTGGATCGGGGTTTTACGCATTCGGCACTTGGAGCCAGTTTGGCACAGAATGATGTGACTCCTCTCCTCGGTGGGAGCTCTTGGCTCAGTTTTGTTGCTATTAGGAGAGACACCTCCCAGATTATCCCATTAATTTGCACCCACAGTCCCCCCACCCCTACCCGGTGCGTTGCCCCCTCCCGGCAGGTTTGCCTTCTGCTCAGCTCTCCTCTGCACACCGAGCTGGATGTCCGGACACTTGCTGCGCTGCTCTTAATGATCAGGAGGCACCGCGGGAGCAGGAAGGAGAAGCACAGCGACGACGCACATGGTGAGCTCCTGTGACTGATTTTTGATCGTTTATCGGCTCGAGGTCTGCGGTAGCTGAAGGGGTGTGAAGTTTTATCTGCGCTTTTGTGGCGCTGGAGAGAAGCAGCGACGGAACTTCAAGTGCAGACTGTATTTTCTGTCGGTGGAACTGAGGGCTAAAAGAGGGTTAAATAAAGGCAGAAACGCATTTGTGGGGAATAAAAACTCGTATAAATTACATCAGGGGTAGAGTTATAGCTACGTTTCTCTTTTCAGTTATCGTTTACGCACTTATATTTTCATAGTTGAGAATAAATCTCATTAAAAATTCATTCTTTTAAATGTGATTACTGATTGTTTTACGCGCTGACAAATAAGCTGTAGGACTGAACTAGAACAAAATACGTTTAATCCTATAAAATGACCTCATGTAGTATAAATTGTTTTACCTCGAGTGTTACTGAAATGTAAATTGCTTATTGTGTTTATTTTTATTTTATTTTATTTTTAAATAAGAAAACATTCTAAAAAACAATCTGTATTTATTTTTTGTTTGTTTTTTTACTGCAACATTGCACAGAACTACAATTTTAAAAAACATATTTTCATTTGTATATTTCTTTTGAATGTAATCGTACGCACGTGGTTTTGCCACTATGTCCCATTATGTTGAGGTAAAAGAAAAATTTAATAAATAAATCAAAACACAATATACGCTCATAACACGATTTCCAATTAGCAGGCCGGGAATTCGGCGCTGTTATTTATCCTAAACGTTAAACACAAGCGAGAATAATGATCAACATTAAACATCAGAGTGAAAGTTTTCTGATCACGTTGCGATAGCCTCGCTGTGTAAATAAAGCTCATAATTGGCTGCAGCTAATTTGCGCTCAACAAAAGCGCAATTAGCTCTGCTGAATTGAGCCAATTAGTCTCCGGGCTTCGCTCTCAGCTCTGGCCAAAGCAATCAGACTAAATATGATAAACATTTACGTTTCATGAACCGTGGCAAAGGGATCATTAAAGTCTAAGGACTCAGGTTAAAGTCAACTCCGGCATCCAGCGTGTATCTGCGGGCTGTTTGCCTTTTAAGGTCCGTTTACAGTTTGTTGGTTTCCCTAAAAGTCCAGTTTAATAAAAATATCACCGCATTTGTCTTAATAAAGACAGCCTGCTTTTTTCTGTCTTTCTTTTCTTAAGGAATTTGGGGACTGGGGTTTACTGGATTGCTGTGAAGTGTTAATTAAAACAAGCTAAAGTTTAGTAAACAAAAAGTTGTTTGTTTGTTTTTTATGAAACTGTAACACTAATGATTAATTGGCTGTTTTTCTTTTCTTCTTTTTTCTTTCTTTTTAAAAACATATATTTTTTAATCTTGTCCAGTGCTCATAAAAGGCGCAAACCTGGCGGTGTTTTTTGATTCATTTTGCGCCTGCTTCTCATTATTAACTTGCTGTATGACACTATGCGGATTTAATTTGCACACAATTACGCACAGGAATTTTTTTCCCCCCACAATGCCCGAAGTTGTCTTTGGCCTGACTGCAGCGTGGATTCCCAGTGATTTAATTTCCATCTGGTTTTCAATAAGATCATGTGAAGTTGGAGCTGCGCTGAAAGCTTCTTGCCAACTTGTATGAGGCAGTAAAGGGGAAATTGACAGGAAACTCCCCTTGTATTATCAAGCGGGCAACATGTGTTTTTTTTATTCAAAAGTGAAGCAAGTAAATCTTGCAGGTCGGTGCAGAGACACCTTTCAGATCTGAGGGGGCACAGATGGCCCAGGAGGATGCGGCACACGTGCACCGGACTGGCTGTTTGTTGGAGGTGCAAACATGAAGGACAGAGGCCTTTAGCTAAAGATACGAGCAGCGATAATCCATTTTGCGCTGTCTGTTGCTTCCACCTCCCTGGCCACCCCACTAAAATTAGATTATTACACCTAAAACAGAACTCCTGGAATCCGCTCCGCGTGGAATAACACACACATGGGCTTCAACTGTGCGGGCAGGAATGCAGTATGGGAATACAGAGCGCATGCATAGCCTTTCTCTTCTCACCCAGAGCCCAGGGTTGTATTTCTGACGGCTGAGGACAATTGCAAATTAACAAAGGTGTCAGTTTGGTAACATGCGCCAACAGGTGCCCGCTTGGTTCAGCTTCAAACGCGCTGGCTATAAGACAGAGCTTATATAATTGATCATATTTATTTAAAGGCTCCGTGTCTTGGAGCAGAGCTGCAACGTAAAACCCTGGGAAATCTTCCCAGATGCTATCAGCTCGATACAAATCCACCTTATTAAACAACACAGCCGTGTGTTTATTTGCGCAATCCTCATTTTAATCTATTGAAACCCCTTACAGAGGTTGCAGAACTATTTGAATTTAGCATATTTTCCCTCGCTGCGGTTGACCGGGACTGCTGCGCATGACGAGGAATGTTAAAATGTGCGAGACAGGCCAAATCCAGCTCATCTGCTCAGCAGAATAGCTCCAGACACAGACAGGCCCAAAGCTCTGCAAGGGACAAAGCGAGTTAGCAGGTAGCAAGAGAGAGGAACCACAGCAAGAGACAGGAACACAAAAAAGACACGTTTGCTGCGGAACAATTAAACAAGAAAAAAAAAAAAAAAAAGTTAATTTATGAGTGATAAGTTTTCAGAAGGATATGATCTTCGTTCTTCAGTTAGAATCATAATACAGCAAAAGGCATGGTATATTACTTACAGAGACAGGCCAAGCATGAAAAATGAACATGCATGGATATGGAAAACTATGGATGTATTGCTGTTATTACCCCATAAGATCACATCTCTCTCTCTCTGAAAGCTCCACCAGACTCCTAAATCTACAGAAAGACTCAGTGCAAAACTGTCTAGCAAGCAAATGCTTTTGCAAACAGCATTTTCAGCTGCACCGAAACACCTTATTGAGTTTCCTATTCACTTACATATTCCTATCCATTTATTCAGATGTGAAAAACTTATATGCATGTGCATGAACTCCTGCAGCTTCAGCCTCTACAAAATCATTAAACCACTTTTTTGTTTCTGCTCCCGGCATCTCTGCTGCTTTCAAGTTCAGACACATTTCAGCGTTATGAAGAACGGGAGATTTACATCGGGAAATAAACGAGGACTGCAGAGCACGAACACCAGCGCCGCTCTCCTTGCTCTCTCCTGTTCGACTATGCTGTAAACATGCCCCCAGGTTGTCAGCAAGTATTTTTCCAGCCCCTTGCCAGCCAAGCATAGCTGCTTCTAAAGATCACCCGCCGGAGATGTTGTTGATCTCATCATACCACTATTTGGCTGTATAAGCTTTTTGAGAGGCAGATTGCTGCCAAGTTATTTCAAAACTTCTGCTCACAGGGTCCTCAAACTGAATGCATAGTTGTTATATCAACAGCTATTGTGTGCATTAAGTTTGCAACTAAGAAAAAGTAGACAAAACTGAAACGGAGATCGAGGCCTCTTCTTGGAGTTAACGGGAAATTCATTCAGAGGAAATCCCGCTCGTCTTCAGCATTTCCGTCCCCGGCATGCTGGCTGTGTGAATTTATTGAAAGTGGTAGAGAAAAACCGTAGTTGAAACCATATCTGCTGGGTTGCATTGGCCATACGAGACAGTTGATCTAGTCTCTGCATTTGGCCTAGAGGGGCGCATTAAAAACCTCAAGGGCCTCACTTAGATGAGCATCCATTTATCAGAGTGGGTGTAATGGGCAAATGTTTAATTAGTCATGTAATGTGACAAAGACAAGAGCAAGTGCATGTCACGGGAATGTTAAACGACCTACCCCTTTCTCTTCACCCCCACCACCCGCCTACACGCTTATAACTGCCCATTCGCTGAATTCCTGACTGAAATCTCACCACTACTTCCCTGAATCCTCTGGTAGCTTTTTATCCTGCTCATCATCCCTTTGACTTGTCTCCCCTTCTTATACAACCGGTATATCGATACCACATGAAACCAGAGAGCCAATTAATCAGCCGATCAACTTATACGTCTTGCTTTTTATCAGTGTGTTCAGGTTCCCGTGGGGCATGTCTCGACACGTCAGGAATGGCTAGCCGAGGCATTCTGGATCACAGGAATGTGGCTCTCTGGGACCAGGGTCACAGTCAGACCACTAATCACTGCACTTGTTACTTGTTTCCTTTAGCAACGCCACAAAACACAGGCGCCTGCTGAGCCTGTTATTCCCCTTTTGTGCTCAATCAAGTTTAGCTGATTTATTTTCTAGCATTTGGTTGCTTTTGGACATTTGCAGTTTGTCCCCAGGCAGCCGAGAGACCGCCGTGACCTGCACACAGGACCCCTCAGAGTTGTGTGGTCCCAAAAGGGAGGCCTCATATTTCGGTCGTTGGCTAATTGAGCGGCATGACGAGGCCGGAGAGGCTCTCAGCCCCGTTCCTCTCCTACGGGTTTGGTTTATGCAGCCCTGCTGACTTTGCTGTCAGTGTCAAACGCTTGTTAGGGCATCATCAATCTCACAGCAGTTAAGAATATTCCCAGAACAGAATGAAAGGGGCAGGTGATAGATGGGCAGGGAGACGGGAGAGTGGAGGAAAAGTTGTTTGAAACCGCCGAAGGATGGCGGATATAAATGAGAAGATGACAGCCCATTTAATGAAGAAAAGAAATCATTTCCCAAAAGCGAAAGGAGAAAGGTGCTGAACTCACCCTGCAATGGAGAAACTTACGTAGTGCTCATTGGGAAATGTGCTTCTGGGCTTTGTGTGAGCAGCGAAAAAACGATAAATCACTGGGCCCAGAGAAAGTAGGTGCATTGTCCATTTTGTCCGGATGCCAAAGCGGACGAATTCTAGTATCAAATCATGACAGAAAAATAAATTACACTCATCACCAATTACACGAAACGGGAAGCGGATTTGTTTGCACTGCAGACCTACACAAGTCAGGGTTTGTCTCTTCAACGGAAGTATCCGAGTAGGGGCTCAAGTCGAACACACATTTCATTCCATAAATCATTTCTACCATCCCAAATGCTAATCTCCAAGTCCTCTTCCTCCCTCTCTGTTTCTCCGTGCCCTCTTTCCTACACCACGACACTACTACACTGCTCATGGTCGGGGCCCTCGCTGCGGTGGCTGCAGCAATGACCAACGGTAAAGATATTTGGAAAGGGAGCAATAAATATGATGGATGTGGTCCAGCTCAGGTTTTAGCCCCAGCTGTCGGGCATGTTTTTTGTTATTTCAGACAGACCTGCTGGGTGCGCGCCCTTCTTCACCCGCATTCATCCACTCGTTTTGGGGTTAAGGAGCGTTTTAAGATGGATAAGTTCTTATAAGTTCTCAAGTTCAAGGGTTCAAACCGGTGGCTGACACTACTGGGAAGATGGGAGATTACATTTTTACAGGATGAAGTCTTTACTGGCAACTACTGAAAGCCAATAAGGTGAACTTGCAGTGATGCAATCAGTTGGTATGGTGTGTTTTCAATAAGGGGACAGGTGGTCCTTCTTAGATTTCCTTCTTCGGCTTCAAATGCGTATCATATAAATCAATCAGTTAGTCTTTTGTTCTTTTCTGATCACGCTCCTGTGGTTTTCCTCTTTAAAAAATGATTTTTTCCTCTCACAGGCTGGATGACATGATGTTCCAACCCTTTTCCCCTCCTCCCTCCACCTCTTTTTGTCCTGTTTTCCTTCTACTCCTCTTCCTCTGTCTTTCCCTCATTTCCTCTTCCCTTCCCCAACCGCCGTTGAGCTGGAATTCACCTAATGACCCCTGCTACCACACAGTTGGCCGTCCGCGACACTGCCTGTCAGAGTTTATCAATGCTGCCTACGGGGTTCCAGTCAACGTGAACCACTCGCTACAAGGAAATGACTATGACAGCCACATCACCACCTTAACCGACCTCAACAATCCCCACAACCTCACATGTTGGATGGCCGATGCAGGTACTGACACAGGAGACTGGGTCCTTACCCTACCGCTGGGCCGCCGCTTTGAGATCACATACATAAGTTTTCAGTTCTGTCACCAAAGGGAGCCATTGGACCCCATCTCCATTTCCATCCTCAAGTCGATGGACTTTGGGCGCACCTGGAGGCCAATGCAGCACTACTCCAGCGACTGCCTCAGGAACTTCAAGCTACCTTCACAAACAGTGGCCCAAACGAGACATCAAGAAACAGAGCCCCTCTGCTCAGACCCACGCCCTCTACAGAAGCAGCGAGGAGGCATGGTGTTGGCCTTCTCCACTCTGGATGGACGGCCATCCTCTCCTGATTTTGACTATAGCCCCACTCTCCAGGACTGGGTGACAGCCACCGACATTCGCGTGGTCTTCCATAAGGTGTCCAGTGAGGTGAAGATAGGCCACATGGATAAGACGGAAGAAGAAAGATGGCTTGACCGTGGACACGACATCAGAGAGGCTGGTGTTGTGAGATGGAGAACGGACTTCAAGGATCAGACTGGAGATCAGGTGGACAAGTTAAACACAGAAAATACACTGGCATTTTTTGACAGGGAGACAAAAAACTCAGAGACAAGGGTGAGGAACAAAGGGGTTAGAATAGATAAGCAAGTCAGGAAGGGCCATTATAAAAGCTCAGGTCAAGATGAAGACGGGCACAACGTCACCAGCAAGGAAGGGGGGGACAGTTTCAGCATGGACACTCTCACTTCTCCTAAAAAGGGCGGGAAAGGCAGAGGGCGTGGCCGCAAGAAGGAAAACAATCATTGGCTGCCTTGCCCCAATGGAGATTGCAATTGGACAGTTGAGGGGCGGAGCAGAAACAACAAAGGGCAGGAGCTGAGGAAACGGAGGAACAACAATCACAATACAAGGCCGAGGAATCTGCAGGCGGCCCAACCTTCTGCTTTTAAGCCCCCCGGCCGAGCTCCTTTTGCCCTCTCGGACCTGCAGGTCGGGGGCAGGTGTAAATGTAACGGACACGCTTCCAGGTGTCGCCGCGACGACACGGGTCGTGCAGTGTGTGTATGCAAGCATCACACAGCGGGGCCAGACTGTGATGTGTGTGAGGACTTCTACTTTGACAGACCATGGCATCGAGCTACGCCCACTAACCCAAACCCCTGTGTTGGTGAGTCCTGCATCACACTGCCTTTGAAAATGCTAACATAAGCACACCTTTGGTCTTATGAAAGAAATCAATGAAATCACTAGAAAACATATTGCAACTGTCAAAAACTGTGCATATAGTAAAGACAGCATGATTGAATCTCAATTTCAAGTACAGGTTTATAGAGGCTATAACTCATCCAGCAACTTAATGTCGCTCAAACAGCACAAGCCAGACATCTGTTTTCAGCATTAACATAAAAACCTTTGCACATCAGATCCTGACCGATACTCAGCAGCCTACAAACATGTTGCAGAGGTCCAGTTCAGTGACTGTTACTCAAGGCAACACACCATTAATTATACATGACTTCAAACATTAATACAATATAAATGAGGGCGCTTTAAAAGATCCCCCCCCATACAGTTGATGTGAAAGATATTCTCGCTATAAAAAAAGAACAAAAGACGCACTCTGGAAGAGAGCTAAGTGTAAGAGGGCTTTGTGTCAACATATTTGCAATCAAACTGAAAGTCATAAATCTGGCTTAAGCCAAAATTTCCCTTATTTGGTACTTTCTGGATACCATATTAAAGCCAAACTGCTGGATTTGAATAACCCATTGTTAATACTTTCTCCAGCCCTGAAACTCTTTTCTTCGTTGGTGTTCACCAGTATTTATTTTGCTTTGCCTATGTCCAGCCTGTGAGTGTAACGGCCACTCCAACAAATGCCGCTTCAGCATGGAGGTGTTTCAGCAGTCGGGCCGGCGCAGTGGAGGCGTGTGTCAGAAGTGTCGCCACCACACGGCCGGACGCCACTGCCAGTACTGCCAGAATGGATACACCCGCAACCACAAAAAGCCGCTCAGCCACCGCAAAGCCTGCCAACGTCAGTGACTGGATGTGTGTGTGTTTAGTGTATATGTGGTGGGGGACACAAGATGGAGGGTAGAGCGAGTGCGTGACCCATACCTTTGATTGACTGTACATTCGCTGAAAGATGAAAAGTAAATCAGAGTGTGATCGTGTTTATGCCCGACTGTCAGAATGTGTGTTGCTATTTGAGCTTACGTGGTCCGCTCTGCCTCTGTACAAGTGTACAAAAGTGTTAATGGGGTGGTTACATTGTGACAGAGGACAGCTATTCCTGTTAGCAATATACAAAAGCACACACAAACCACACCGAGCTGCCTCATGCATCCACATTATTACCACCTGTGGCATCTGCAATGACCCCCGGTGACCTTTGACCGGTGTCATGTCCTAAGTGACTGTGACACCCTAGCTTAGCTGTGTGCAAGCTTGTCCTCTGCTCTAATACTTTGCTGTATATCCAGAATTAACAGGCCTTGTGAGTTTCACACACATTCAGGGATAATAAAAAATATTAAACACGCTCAATATTTTATCACTTTTAAGGCATGAAACAAGAGTATCCTGCAAATTTATACGCTTTTAGTCCTGATTTATTGCTGCTACATTTCACTTAGTAACCATTCAGAGGCCAGCGGTGAGACAATTACTCATTTTCTCCAGGCAGGTTGTTTGGACTTATTGTAAGGATTTGTATAAACATTGTTCGAGTGTGAACAGAGCTGCTGAGGAGAGGCTTCCTCTCCCCATCTGTCTTCTCTCATTGGCCCTTATCCTTTGAAAGCACTGGTAAATAAAAAGCTTTGCAATGTAAACTATGGCAAATCCAGGCAGTAATCATTATACCGTGTAACAGGCAACACTGCTAATATCTACTTAAGAAGGTTCATCTTCACTAAAAAAACTTACCTAAAAGAAACACCAGAGTGATAATGATTCCCTGCAATGGTGTGCAATTTTGTTAATATCTCCACTGAGGAATTTGTCTTTGTTTACCCATCAGGAAACAGACGCCCACCTGGCGTTAGTATAGGCCTTCTGTAATGCTCAGTGACACGCTTGAGGACACATGCTTGTCATTCAGGATTAAACCAGGTCCTGTCACTGATGGATGCATTTATAAGTCCTGTTGTCATGTCTTTCCTTTGTTATGTTATTTTTAACATATCTTAAACCTATCCAGAATATAGATTATTTCAACTGGCTCTGCTCACCATTTTAGCATCTTTTAGCTTGTTATTTTGGTTTACAACCTGCTTGTTGGTGGACAAGAAAACTGAGGCAAAAACAGTACAGAGCTTTAAAATACAGGCTAATAAGCCTGTACTGTAAGGTGAGAATATGTCAGTGTTGGATTTAAAGCTCATGTGAGTACCTACCAAAAAACGTGCTTATTCAGCTTCTAATCTGTTCATTTCTTTCCCAGCGTGTCAGTGCCATCCTGTGGGGGCAGTGGGTGGCTGGTGTAACCAGACGTCTGGTCAGTGCCTGTGTCGACGAGGTGTGACCGGCCTCAGGTGTAACCGCTGTGCCCCAGGATATGAACAGGGGAAGTCTCCTTTACAGCCCTGCATACGTAAGTTTACCGGCCACGCAGATGTCCATTTTAAACCTGCTAACTTTAGCAGTGTTGTCAGAAAGAGTTTTCACTTTGAAGGCAAAACAAGAACTTCTTCCTCTTTCTGTCAGTTATTGATTCTACAAGGTTTAGTGCTACTAAAGAGTGCACAAATGAGCCACACAGTGTGTTTACAACTGCTAGCAAAGCATAAAGGCTGTCAGTGCATGCTAACATTTTCCTCACCCAAGGAAATGCTAACACAAGTGCAGATCACACCAGTTTGTCCTCATCTACAGCAACTCAGATTGTTAATATTGCAATATTAAAAATGAAATTGGAAATGGGTTTTTGGCATGGATTTATGCTAACCTAACCAGAATAGCTCTCCCTTAAAACTAGCAACATGTAGATTGATATTAAGTTAAGTTGATGTTAGCCAGTAGCTCAGTGTGGTTGTATGCAAAATTTGATATTTATCCAACACAGCACTGCATATGCCAAAACCTTTAATTTATAAAGGCAGCTTATGTAGACTCTGAGGCATAATTTATGAGGCGAATGCATCATCAGTAGTCTGAATACATTTTCAAGACCACAAAATGTGTTTGTACAGCAACAATGTTTTTCTGTTTTTGATTTGTTTTGGTGACTTAGTTTACTAATTCCTCTTAAATAGTTATTGATTGTTCTCATCTGGACTTGAGAGTTTACACAAAAGGATTATTATAATTAGACGTTTTCATAGTTCATACTTGAAGGACACAGATTTAATAAAGCAAACATTTAACATTCATTTAACATTTAATACAGGGCTGAATTTATTATTTGAATGTCTGAATGTAGTCAATAGGTAATCAGCCTGTTAAAGACACAACTGTGATGACCAATAACACTTTTACCATTAACTAATGACTGAAACATCGCTTCCATCACGTCTGGATATTCTTTTCCTCTCTGGGAGGACTCTGCCAGTGGGCTCTGTCTTTTGTCCCAGGGGTTCTGGGTCTGTCTGAGGGATTTCTCTCCTCCTCGCTCTGTTTCAAGGATTTTCGTGTGTTTGTGGAAATTGGTGCAACTGCCATAACACCCATCAGACACAGATCACATTTTGCAGTGTCTCATTTCAGCCTGCATGTGTCCAAGTCAAGTCCAAGTTCCCATGTAATTTTGTTACATAAGTAGAATGTAAAATGTTACATTTATTGAACCTGGTCAAATGGTTCAATACTGCACTTATTTTGCCTATTGAGTTTTGCACACATGTGGGAGCCTTCCAGGACTCTATGAAAACTATGAATAGAGGCCTCAAATCTGAAAGTTATGACAACCTCTTTTGTTTGTTTTTATAAGGATTGATTTCATAACAGCACTTAGTCTTACCGTAATTAAAAATGTTCTCTCTGCACTCGACACCCTTTGGCTTTTAATAGTTTGTTGTCAGTCATGACAAAGTGACTTCTTTAATTTCTCCTTCAGCCTCATTTGTTCGTGGCCTAAATGGATTAAGCGACTCTATCAAGCTGTGTAAGCCTTTATCAAATTGTAGCTCAGTATAAATAGGGCCGCTGCGCTTCAGTTTAATTTGGCCCGATCTCCTCGGCGTGTCTCCTTTTCATCATCCCTGGATGGTTTCCACAGCAGCGATAACATGAGCTGAGCGCTACAGGGAAACCTCATCTCCCACTGATCTGGTATCAGCGTCAGATCAAGAGGATTGTTGCCACTCACATCTCTGCGCCTGGCCAGCAACAAACATCAGCCATGAGCGCTAATCCACGCGCACATCCCGGGCTAATCGCACGAGTGCCGACAACTACACAGGCTCTGACGCTGTGTTAGTCCCAATCAGGTGACATAGGGAGCCAGCAGCAGGGAGCTTCGCACCTGTTGCACGCCTCAAACTGCCCCCATCGAAGGGCCCAGACTCATAACTCTCCTAGTGAAAGGAGTGAGTGAAAGAGAACCTTGTTTGTTTTTACTCCCAGACCATCTCAGTCTATGTATAGCACCTCTCTGCTCCCACCACCTCGTACATCTCGCCTACACCTCATCAGACAGCCCTAAATGTGTGCAGCAGTCAGGCTAAATTCAATGTTAGCTACCTTTAAACCATTTTATCTATGCTCTGAATAGACCAGGATGTCAGCAGAATTGTCTGACAGGGCTGCATATTTTGGTCAAACTAAAGCTAAAGCAAAACGGAATCCAAGCTAGCTGATGAGATAGCCCCAGCTAACCTTTGCTAAAGCTTTAACTGCAAATTTATGAAATGAAAAATGATCAAGTTTTATGATTTGTTACAAAATAGAAAACAGTTATTTCACATATTTAAAGCAAGTTGATGTGCTGTCACCTCAGCCAAAGTCATCTATGACCTCGGGTTTAATCCTGCGAGGGCCATCGTGAACGATTACTGGAACTGTTATTTTGAAGCATTATCTAAAATAACTGAACTTTTTTCCTCTGAAAGTTATATTTCTACCAACATCTTTGCTGATTTCACTTCAGAATCCTCTTAGCAGCATGTCGCTCTGATGGTGGCTTCTGTTTTTGTTAATAGAGTTTCGATGAATGCCAAAGAAAAGAAAATAGTTGAAATCCCATTAACATGAAATATTGGTCAATGAAAAGTCTTCTCACACTAAGATGAGTTATCTGATTTAGTTAGTTAGTGCTGACTTTTCTCCTAGTGTCATGTTTTGTTGTGTTTTTACTTTGACCTGATATTTCTTGGGTTAGATCATATTTTTATTAATTTATTTATTGCTAATTTTATTCTGTATAGTTCCTATATTGATTTAGGAATGCATGAACAGCATCTTTTGTTTCTGCACTATTTGGAATTTTGCGATATGTGACGATTCAGACATTTGACTTGCCTTGTAAATTTAGAAACATATTAAAAACTAGAAGCCCACTCAGCGACACATTCTCCACCGAGACCAATAACCTTGCATTTCAGTTTTAATCAATCACAGATGTTGCCTAACTGCTGGTTTGAGGTACTTCTTGAATGTCGCCTAGACAATTGTGCTAGACTTTTTAGCAAGAGAACGATTAGCATTAAGAATTGTTTTATGTTTTTTTTATTATTTAGAATTAAAAGAAATCTTGAAGATCTTGAATCTTGGAAATCCCTGTACCCTTAATGACTCGGTGTTAATCAATAAAGATGTGATTTTGATGATGATTAGAATAATATATATATATATATATATATATATATATATATATATGTATGTATATATATATATATGTATATATATATGTATGTATATATATATATGTATGTATATATATATGTATGTATATATATATATGTATGTATGTATATATGTATGTATATATATATGTATGTATATATATATATATATATATATATATATATATATATATATATATATATATATATACATATGTGTATATATATATATATAATATATATATATATATATATATATATATATATATATATATATATATATATATATATATATATACATATATATATGTGTATATATTTATGTATGTATGTATGTATATGGGTCACCTTCTCATTTAATTGTTTTTCTTTATTTTTACTACTTTCTGCATTGTAGATACATACTGAAGACATCAAATATATAGATCAAGATATATGGGATTATGTAGCAAAGAAAAGTAAATAACTGCAAATATGTTTTATATTTTAGATCTGCCAGAGTTGCCACCCTTTGCTTTGTTGACAGCGCTGCAAACCCTTCTCTAAATGAGCTTCATGATGTAGTCACCTGAAATGGTTTTCACTTCACAGGTGTGCCTTGTCAGGGTTCATTGGTGGAATTTCTTGCCTTATTACACAGTTTACAGCCTTATTTGACAACCGTCAGATTATAGCATATTATGGCAAGAACCAATCAACTAAGTAAAGAACTGAAGGTCAGTCAGTCTGGAAAATTGCTAAAACTTTAAATGTGCAGTCACCAAAATCATCAAGTGCTACGATGAAACTGGCTCACATGAGGACTGCCCCAGGAAAAGAGGACCAGTTCCAGTAGGAGACACAATCTCTACATCAACTGTTCAGAGGAGACGGCGCGAATCAAGCCCTTATGGTCAAACAGCTGCTAAGAAACCACTAAGGAAAAGCAAGAAGTAGTAAAGATTTGTTTGGGACAAGAAACTCAAGGAATGGACATTAGACAAGTGGAAATCTGTGCTTTGGTCCGATGAGTCCAAATTTGAGATCTATGGTTCCACGTGCCTTGTCTTTGTGTGATGCAGAAAAGGTGAACGGATGGTCTCTACATGCATGGTTCCCACCCTGAAGCTTGAAGGAGCAGGTATGATGGTTTGGGGGTGCTTTGCTGGTGACACTGTTGGGGATTTATTCAAAATTGAATTTGACATGTCTACCATAGCATCCTGCAGTGACATGCCATCCTATCCGGTTTACGTTTAGTTGGACCACCACTTATTTTTCAACAGGACCACGACCCCAAGGGCTATTTGACCAAAAAGGAGAGTGATGGAGTGCTGCAACAGATGGCCTGGCCTCCACAGTCATCTGACCTAAACCCAGTCGAGATGGTTTGGGATGAGATGGACCTCAGAGTGAAGGCAAAAGGGCCAACAAGTGTTGGGGACTCCTTAAAGACTGTTGGAAAACCATTTCAGGCGACTACCTCATGAAGCTCATTAAAAGAATGCCAAGAGCGTACAAAGCAGCAATCAAAGCAAAGGGTGGCTATTTTGAAGAATCAAAAATATAAAAGATGCTTTGAGTTACTTCACACTTTTTTTTGTTTTGTAATAAATCCATATGTGTTCATTCATAGTTTTGATGCCGGGAGTGAGCATCTACACCGTAAATAGTCATGAAAATAAAGAAAAAACATTAAATAAAAAGGCGTGTCTAACCTTTTAACTGGTAGTGTACATAGAATAGCATGTCACTAGTCAGCTAGTCACTAAATTCTGATAGAGACCCAGTCATTTTGTTCTGGAAGCAGGCCTGACATGACAGAAATTGCTCAGTTCAGAAAATTTTCTGAAATTTTCATGAAATTTTAGGAGATCAGGCTTGGTAGTTTTTACTAGAGATGGACCGATCCGATATTACGTATCGGTATCGGTCCGATACTGACCTAAATTACTGGATCGGATATCGGAGAAAAATAAAAAATGTAATCCGATCCATTAAATATCACGAAAGCACCTCACAAAACTTGCAACACGCCGTAACTCGCCTCAGAACGTTAGCACGTCGGAGCAGTATGCATCACGTGATAGAGCGGCTGTGGCATGCGGGACCTGTCGGTGGTCTGGATAGCATTTGGAGCTTCGCTAGCAACCCGGCATTTCATCTCCGACAAAGTTATCCCGAGAGAAGTAAAGCAAGTGTGTAAGTCCATCTCTGAATGTTTGTAAAGCATTCCTGTGTTAAGCTTAACAAACGATATATGGAGCGACTGCCTCTTCTTGCTGCTACTTCAATCATGAAACTGCTTAACGATCAGCTGATCGGCTTTTCAAATCAAAATCAAATCAAATCACTTTTATTGTCACATCACATGTGCAGGCACACTGGCACAGCACATGCGAGTGAAATTCTTGTGTGCGAGACCGTCGTGAGTCCGTGTCTCTTCTTTGTTTTTGGCCCACTTTGCACCAGAAAGAGGAAACCAGCGGCTGAACAGCAGCAGCACGTTTAAGCTTGATCAGCTGTTGTTAGAATTTATTTAATATTACTTTCTACTCGAGGATCTTTTTCTACGTAGCTGACGCTGGTAGCTGTGCAGGGGCGGATCTAGCAAAGTTTAGCCAGGGGGGCCGATAGGGCATTAACAGGAAAAGGGGGCACAAAGACATACTTTTCTTTCTTATTCTCATTTAAAATGTCTAGCTTTTAATAAATAATTATCTGACACCCAAAGTTTTAATTTGATGTAAAATGAATAGAAGTCCATTACTGTATATAGTAACTATTAAGTCTAATATATATACCCTAGTAAGCTATAATACTTTTTCCTTTGGGAAGGTACCATCTGTGCAGTCTGCAATTTTGTTGAAGAAAGATGTTGAATCTATTTAATATTTCTTGAAAAATAATTGATTTCTGTGCAATTTTTTTTCACACTGCATCAAATTAAGGTTGATTACGTTGATTAAGCATCATGAGGTGGAGCGTGAGGGGTGGTTCCCTATTTTTTATTTATTTATTTTTGTTGTTGCTGGGAGTTGGAACCCTATTAGTTAGGTTGCTTAATATTTACGCTAAGTACTCTTTAAAATACCAGAATAGGGAGAATGGTGTAGGTTTAAGTTTATTAGATTGATCAGTATTGCTGAACTATGAAATATTTTTTTTTGCATACAGGTATAACAGAATAGCTTTAGTGTAGTTGTTGTTTTAAACTTGAGTATGAACTTATACAAAATGCAGCAAGATATTTAAAAAAAACAACAGTTTTGTTGATTAAAAAACACACTATATCGGATTCATATCGGTATCGGCAGATATCCAAATTTATGATATCAGTATCGGACATAAAAAAGTGGTATCGTGCCATCTCTAGTTTTTACATACAAAAGATATCCCTGTCTGTCAGTCGCATATATGGATATCATATTGTCACTAGCCCTGCTCATGCAGGTAGCCCCATTTGCCTCATTGGAACCCTTGACATGTACTATAAGTACACTTACAGAAACCCACAGCACCTTCTTGACTTTTAAACACGAGGGACCGTCAGCTGGAAGGGGGTGTTGGGTGTCAGTGGCCCAGTTGTGTCATAGAAGACCAGACCTGGACAGAGGACGATGCGTGAGCTTATATGGCGGCACTGTCACACACAAACTTTTACAAGAGCCTGGGTTATGCACGCGTCACCAACCAGGATGTTAATCCACACCACCGACACGCACTACTCTGTTTAATGTTTGAGACAAAACCATACAAGAAGTGAAGGTCTGACCCTATTAAATTCCAAAAAGTAAAGTTTGCATCTGTCTGTGTGTTAGAGAGAGCACCACAGGATGGGTTTGTGGACCATAAAAGGACCACACACACGTTCATTTTGACATTTGCTTATCTTCTGCATGGGCATGCCTCACGCAGCGAGGGTCATTCAAACACAACGCACACATATAATGCACAGAAGTGAAACAGACTGACAGCTCTGGAAAGTGTCCTGAAGTTTCTCTTTGTGTGTCTGTTTTGTCTGAAACTGTGTTTATGCTTGCAGGAATTCCAGAAGTTGCTCCAACTCCAGTGTACCAACCTCAGTACAGCATAGGTAGGTCTGATGTATGGCAGTCCTGGAGAAATGCTTTGCATCAATGTGATGAAGCTCCTTGAATTATTTTTTTAAGCAGACAATCATTCATAGACAAAAATGGAGAAGAAGGCAAGTCTGGAAAATTGTATCCTGAAAGACAGTTTTATACAGAAAGTAACTTTATAACTTTTTATAACTTTAAACCTTTAAACTAATCTATTAACTAAACTTCTGGTACTTAAATATATTAAACCAATATCTAATTTTTCTACTGTAAAATTTTCTGCCTGCTGTAACCTGCCATAATAACTTATGATATCCGAATGCCTCATGCAGGAAATTGTGTAACTGACAACAAGATTTGATTGAGTAATAACAATAAAGTTTTTCCCTTTTCTATCCTCTCCCCCGCTGATGTCACCGCAGCATTTAGATTTATGGCTTTTTTGTGCGATCATATATCAGATCTCCTCTGAAGGTGTGCCACATATTTTTTAACAGATCAGTCCTTGAATTGAAACTGCTCTGGGAGCTGCTGCTCACTCTCTCCACGGAGTGGCTAACCACTCCCTCCTAGCGGCGGCTCGAAGAATGTCCCACCTGCTGCAGTTGGGATCATCTGTTAGTCAAAGGATACTGTGATGACAAATAGAAGCAGCCATATTGTAATTAGGGGAAAAGACATGTGCTGATATGCTTGCTATGAAATGATATCCACCCTCATTTGACGATTCTCTCTCCCTCTCCCCCCTCTGCTTGTCTCTCATGTAGCGGAGGAGTGCGTTTCATACTGCCAGCCTTCTCAGGTTAAAGTCAAGATGAACTTGGAGACCTATTGTCGAAAGAACTATGGTTAGTGGCCATTTTTCTGTTTTAACCACTATATATTTTTATTATATTATTAAATATAATTTAACAATTATAGTGTTTCCTGCTATCCATATTTGATATGAGCATCCACAGTGTATGTATGACAGAAAATAGAAAAGTATAACCAGTCTTTAAATTATTTATTCAAATGAATCAAATCTAAATTGTAACAAATATTTAAATTGTGGACCAAAAGAATCTATCAAAAATACTATTTTTTTTTTTTACTATGTTGTGCCTGTGTTTGTTAGTGCTGAAGGTGCAGGTGAAAGGTATGGAGCGCTCAGGTCCCTGGTGGCAGTTTTCCATCTTGGTGCAAGTCGTCTTCCGCACTGGGTCCCACGCCCGCATTCGCAGGGGCTCTCAGTCCCTTTGGGTCCCTGACCGCGACCTTGGCTGCGGCTGCCCCGCCCTCCAGGTGGGTCGGACAGTCCTCCTGATCGGAGCAGATGAAGGAGAGCAGCCCTGGGTGCCAGAGGAGAAGCGCCTGGTGGCAGATCGCTCTACTCTAGCCCTCCAGTGGCAGGAACACTGGAGCCCCAAACTCAGGGCTTTCCGGGGGCAGGACAAGAGGGGCCGCTGTCCACCAAAACAGGCAAACAACCACCAGCGCTACAGGGAAAACCCAAAACCTCAGTCTGGTTATGTCCCCCCTCACTTGCTGACTGAGAAAGATGTCGAGCCTCACGCTGCAAACACACACAAGACTGAAAGCACAGAAGTGCCGCACATGTTCAAAGTTAAATCCACTGAGGCGACACTACCCTCTTCTTCTTCACCCAATCCAGTGTGTTCTACTCAAAACCCTTCATGAAAACTTTAACAGTGAGAAGATTTAAAGACTCAAATTCTATTATATTGAAATTCTCAAAAAACAGAAGAACTACAAGGAGTAAAATGTACATTATTCCATTTTTTTGTCAGTGGACTTGACAATCAGGTGAGAAGAAAGCTCAAAGAAACCCTTCAACACCGAAACACATACCCACCTTTAGGTTTATGTACATTCTTAAGAGGTTAATTATTGCATAATGAGTTTTGCAGCAACATAAAGTGGTATCACTCAGTGATGATGAATCTGTGAGACTAAAATGGTGAAATGTAAAATGAAAGTATCATTATTTTAATATTTCTACTAAGGAAAATTCTGAAAATTAAAGTCTGACTGAACTTTGAAAAATGTCAATTAGCATTTTGTCTTGAAAATCTATATTTAGATCATATTTATTTATTGAATTGTTTAGCTAAAGTGAAAATATTACAATAAATGACATCATAAAAGTATTTACAATAGTAATTAACATAATGACAAATGGTTTAGTTAATGTGCAAAAATGTGATTGATTTTTTTTTTTACTAGTAAATATTTTATTGTAAATTGCCCATTATACCATTTTAGACTTTATTTTTAATTCACATGTAAATTTGGGAAAAGCAAATACTGAAAAGTAATCTCTGAAGCAATTTCACTAAATTAAAATAACCGAGCAAAGTTGAAAGTCATGTAGCTCACATGGATAATTACAACAGAATGTGTCTGTTATGTAAAACCATGCTGGAGACTGCAAATTTGCATTTATTATAAATAACTAATATTTACTATTACATCGATGCTGTAGTTTTACAGTTTAAATCCAAAACTTTCAAAACTAAACAGATTAATTAATACATTATTTATTTATTTTGCTGAACTACTTACATTTGTTCCCCTTTAATCAACTTGAAATATTTGCAGAATATGTATATCCCACGTAAAAGTATAATTTCAGTGTATTTATTTTTGTTATTTCTGTCTGATATGGACATCAGTTAAAATAGCCTTCATAACGTGTTGCTCAGATTGTGTTTTTTTTTACCTTCATGTAAGAAAAACAAAGCTGTGACACCACGAGTGCATTGGGCAGCCGGGTTAGCACAGACAAGATATTATTATATTATTAAATTCCATTTTTAAATTTGACAAATATCTTTACTCTTGCTTGTCTAAAATAATGAAATTAAAAAACTGAAAACTGAAATTTTTCATTTAGGCTAATTCAATTTAGACAAAGAAAACTCATTGATTTTTAAATTAAAACATTTAAATAAGAACACTTTATTATGTATGTACATATAGTACATTTCAATTCTAAAAATGTAAAAAAAAAATTGCTTTAATTTTCTTTTTGAGTTTCTTTCTTTCTTTTCGCATGCATTTCAGTAGTGGGAGACGAAAAACCTCACTGCACTCACACCTTTAATTCAAACTGTACAATGTTTGATGAAAAGAGACTTTATCTACAATCTGTTCCCTCACTGGACAGCTGACACAAAGACCAAACTAACTTAACCTCATTTTCTAGGAATCCTCAGATACACCATAAGGAGCCCAGATACGGATCTAAAAAACATCGGTCCAACCTGTCGTCATGACTTCTGTTTCCATTTGGGAGATATCGCGTCATAGCCCAGGGGAAATGGGGGGTGGTTGGAGGTTATGAAGACAGATGGAAGAGTTCCTATTTGTTGAGCAGCCACCTTGTTTTGGTGGGACCTGTGTCAGCGATTGGCTGTGCAGCTGTGGTGAAGGCTATGATTGAAAATAAAGAGAGAAAAATAGACTCGCTGACTGATGACCTCGCAGCGGGACTGAACATACAGTACACCGAAGAGTGTGTGAGACTGTTTTGGGGCCTCTTTTCCTTTTCTTATGAGGTCCAAACATCCGTGCAACCAGCTGGCAGCTTACCATGCTAATTATGCTTCCAAACAAGCTGCTCAGATGTCTTTATACAGTAACCCAACATGCAGCATGTTTTCTGTACACTGTCTTTAATCATTTACCAGAAAAAAAACATAGACTTAGTTTTATACTTATTCAAATACAAACTCTTTTTTAACCACTTAGGGTGACCTTTGTAAGAAATCAGTCAGATTTAAGTGCACATTCACAATTCTGTACTTGTGAAGACCTTAAATATCTCATTTTGACGGATCTATATTCATCACACATATTCTTCAACACCTTAAACTCAGTAAATGGAATGACAACAATACTATAAATATTACATGAAAACAGCCAAAAATGTCAGAAATACAAAAAGAGAAAATTTTAATAAAGTTTAATGTAATCATCTTTGGCATTTTTACTGACCTATAGTTTTTTCAAAAAAACAACTGTAGTCATTTCATAATGTGTGTTGATTCAGACCATTCATCTAAGTGTCTTTGACTAATACTTTGATGCTAGCTGGTGATAAAAAAGCTCTCAAACAATACATATAAATGTTAATTACACAATATGTGTGGATATGTGTACTGTGTGTACTATGTAAAGTGTTTCAGATATAAACCGTAAAGAGATGTAATGTATGGACCATCTTTTTAGCATCTTTCAGCTCACTGTTTTGTTTTTAAGGCGTTCAATATACTGTTTTGGTTCACTTTCACTGCTCTAATTAGCACGCTTTCAACAGCAGGCAGCTGTTTTCAGTTTAAAAAAATTCAAAACACAGCTGTACACTACCAGGAAAACAGCAGACAGAAAAACTTTGGCAATTAACTGGCAAACACAGTGGATCATTTAGTAGCTAAAAACAGATATTGTCCTCAGGAGTTGGTGGAGACCAAAATATAGCTACAAGTAGAGTGATTATCAGGTGGATGCAAACATACTGCAAGTAATTTCTTGGTATTCTGTGTTTTTCAAAATCCAGTGAAAGTGATAAATAACTCATGTCAGGTTTGTGTTTCCAGCTTGCAAACAACAACAAATTGTAGCAAAAACCATCCAATGTCACGTTTTCGTTTTGGCAGCTAAAAACAAGAAAAGGAGTTTCTGCACCCTGAAACACCAAACAACCCAAAACGAGAAGGGCACGGCTGTAAAAGTTAACAGTGCGTAACACACAAATTATGTGTGTGTGTCAGAGGAAAAAAGTGCAAGTCAACACATGCACAATCATGTCTCGGTGTGTGTGCGTGTGTGTGTGAAGCACCTGCTGCGTTGCTGCAGGAAGCACCTGTCAGCAGTCGTCTCCGCGGTGCAGCCCCTGTCGACATGAGGGTTTGATCCCAAAACTCCCCAAACACACACACTTACACCGACACTAACAGACAACTTAAGCCAGTGGCTCGCTCTGCAGCAGGGGCTTCGCATAGTCTGCGGCTTTGCTCCAGTTAAACTGACAACATGTTCTTTTCTGAAGCGCTGTGGATGGGGGTAGGCTCCCTGTTTTGGTGGCATGTGGGAAAAAAGGAGATCAGATTCTTCTTCTGCAGAACGGGAAGCAGCAGTGTGTGTGTTTGTGAGCGTGTGGTATTATGTTTACAGCCTGCCGAGGGCACGTTTTACGAGAGGTGATTCCTCCTGTGTTGCAGCCAGAGCCAAAGTTCAACTAGACTTCTTGCAAACACACCAATTTGCTTTGTCCTCAAACACATACACACACATTTAACACTATTCTCATCCCGTCTACACACACACTCCAAATTGTTGCCTCGCACCCAAGAGCTTAAGTCCAAGTTCAGAAAGTCACACTGTTTTCAGGATGCACACACACAAAGACACGGAGGCTTCTGTTAACCTGAGAGGCAGAGGGTCAATCCCTGTGATCCTGCAGCCTACATGCCTTCCATACAGACATGCCGCCGACACCGCAACCCGACTCCCGGCCAGATTAGGACTAATCAAGCATGGCACAGCTCAGGGCAGCAACGGCATGACACACACATGTAGACAAACACATGGATATACTGTACTACAAACATGTGCCAACCCTTCCTCTTTAAAATTTCTGATCAAGTATTTGCCAAAAATATGACCACAGAGAGAAAAATTATTTCTTGCATCAAGTATCATTATTAACAGTGCATGCAACATTTTATAATGTGGATTTTGCTCCTTGTTTCGGTTTCAGTCTGTTAAATTTCCTGGCAGTTTTTGATAGTTCAGGTTTTATAGGGTTAATGCTTTCCTACAGAACATAAAATGTCTGAAAATACACAAATTCCACACCAGTGAGAGTCTATCCCTCAGAAAACGCGGCTGCTGAATTGAAAGGTCTAATTTAATGTCCAGGTTTGTCTTCCTTCACTTATTTTTGGCACCATGTAACAAATGTGCATGACACTCTTCCAGAAGTGAATAGGAAACACCCGCAAACAAAGAATGAGCAGCTGCTTCGTACTCTGACGCTTTTATATACTCTCCAGATTCACTTCTGTAACTCAACAAGTTGTTGTTGATATGACTCTTGTTCATTTCTGACATCTGAGGAACTGAAGATCCAGTGGATTACTTTTATTTTTGACATCCTAACAACAGCAGAAAATTCTTAGTGATTGCATGACGGGCAGCTGATGCTACCAGTAGCAGGCCGGAGCAACACTGCATGGAGAAAAGTCTCGAAAATCGAGTCCCATTGCAACAGTCAAGCACCTATCTATGCTGTCTGCCTTTACAAACATTCGAGAAAGAATGAGCCATTTGAATATGAGCAACAAGTCAGTTTGTGAAATTCTTCCTTAGTACACATTTCATGATCAGCCATGAGTGGTTTGATTGCAAAGTGAAAGTGTTTAGGAACCACAGCAACTCAACCATGAAGTTGTAGAGCAGGGTCACCGGGTGACTGGGTGGCTGGAGCTCCAAACCTCATCTGTCCTTAACATCAGCACAAAAAGTGTGCACCGGGAGTCATGGTTTCCATGGCTGAGCAGGTCCTGTTGGTGTAATGTGCACTTTTTTTCCACACAATATTTGTGTAAACTGTAGTGTGCACAATCAGAGTCTTTGATACGAGTTTGAAACCAAATAAAAAAAAAATATGACTGTCTTCATGTTGTGTTTTTCTTTTTTTTTCTTTTTTGCAACTGGCATTTTTGAAAGGATTTTCTCTCTAAAGGAGAGGGGCTTACAAGACTAATAGTCTATTTAAAGCAACCTGGATGTACACCAAGATTTTACAGGTTCTTCTTTTGCCTGTCAACCACGTCTCCACTTATTTTAATGAAATTCAGATTGGTTTTCCAACAAGCGTTGTGTTACATAGTAACTTCTGCAGGATTTTCTCTTTGTTCCTGCTCTGGGTTAGATCCTGCTTTAACTCTATCCAGCTGAACTCTGAGGTTGTTATCCTTTATGTCTTAAACAGCCTTGACTGTGCTCTTACAGGTCAGGTACTTAATTAATGCCTCATCAATCAGAGCAGGCTGGTCTTTGGAGAATGGCTGCATTAAAGCAAACCAGAAGATTTTCGAGTGCTGCAACAACTTATAGTGTAAAAAAAATTATGTATTTCTTGCACTATGAAAGCGCATAAAGCTATTCTGGTAGATCCCAAAATGACATTTTAAACCTTTAAATGTATTTAAGAGAAGTGAACTCATAGGTTTAATATGCAGAGCATACATGCTCGTCTGTATAATGTTTTTGCATGAGACCGTGAGGACCTGCCGTCACGTGGCTACAGCTTGACTTTTCCCATTAAAGTTTTCCCACCAGTCGCAGGTGTGGACCGGTCGTCTGGTCCCTGTTTGGCCACAAATGTCTGGGATGTGTCAGGCCGTCCTCAGCTCTGCTCCCTTTGTAGTCTGCAATGGGAGGCTCGTTTTGTCTTTGTAGTCATTAAGCAGAACCTTATTTTGGCAGCCACCGTGTTAGAGGGGACAGGTGATTTATAGCGGAGGGAGCAACAGGGTGATCCCTGCCATTCGTTTCTTTTTTGGGAGGGATGGGGGCTCATTCTGGATGTTTTTATGGCGTCTAAACACACTCTACAGTCTATTAGTACCCTGTGCGCAGGACTCGGAGTCCAGGATTAGCGATCAAAAGACTGATGGCGGGGGCACTGGGGTAAAAGGTTGGAGGTAACATTAGCCCGGCCTGCCCAGGTGGCGTGGCTGGAAAGAGACTCCCATATGTGGTGTAGATGGGTCAAACGTGGGCTGTGTGTGTGGGTGGAGGCTTCCAGCATGCTGTATGTGGAGCCTGTGTGTGCATGACTTTTATGGAGCATACTGAACTCCGTCTAGTTGGATCTGAACCATAACTGATTAGATTTCAGGCTCAGAGTGGTGACCGCTGACCTTCTTACAAATGAAATGTGGTTGATTTTTCCGCAGCCACATCTCACCTTCACAGCACTTGGTGTGCCACTGCAATCTACTTCACTTACTCTGAAAAAACCTACTTAAAATCACCCTTTTTGCCAAAGTTCCTGTGAGCAGCTTTGAGTAAAAATGAGGAAAAAGACAGAAATTAAAAAATTGGGTTTTAATTTTGCCTGGGCAGTCATCCTTAGAATTAAAAAAATAAGGGAATTAAGTAACATTGAATAGATTTCAGTTTTGATTCCTTAAGATGACTTTTTACTGAAAACTAAATAGACTTTGTTGGTATGCTGTATACCTAACAGGTCATGAATCTACTGTTGAAAGTACTGGTTTGCTTTGCTTCCTACTTTATATTATGTAAGTTTAATATAATGTGTGATGTAGGTATAGAACTATTTTAGCTTTGGCCAGTTAAATGCTTGACGTGTCTTTTACGACCTGCTGTTCGGGACATATCTAACAACGAATTTTGCAAATTTTAAATGTAGCAAAAAACACACAAGAGTTCATTTTTTAAAATTCAATAAATAGGTTTATTCTTATTGGTAATCTTACAGCAGTCTCTCACAGTGTGGTTTCTAACCATTTATATGTCTTGCTGGCCATGACACAGCTGGTGGTCTCATATGTGGGTGGCCTCATCCTCAGTGTCTGAGTCATGTGGCAGAGAGAGCTGGGCTTCAGGGAGGTTGTTGCACTGCAGGTAGCTGAAAACGACTTGGACCTGAACACACACACACACACACATGCACACACACACACACACATCAGGTCCATGGTGAAAGAAACACACGTTTCTAAGTTATCACACACCTCAGAGCTTTGAAATGTATTTCAGTTCAAAATTTTGCACAATTTCTGGAAACTGAAAACTGATGATGTCATTATGTCATACTTTTTTGGAGTTTCAGTCATTGATCGAGTCACGAGGTGTAACTGAATAGTCTGAGCAGCCATAAAAAAAGAGCTGCTTGAATTCCCTACATACCAAGGAAAGGTAAAGTTTCCTTTACTACCTCCTTTAGCACAGGATGCATTGGCTGGACCATAAAGTATGGTCAGCCTTCATAGCAAATCAGTCAAAAAACCCAAAATGTCCCAAAAATTATCAGAAAAATTAACGAAGTGGGTCAGATCTTATAAATGTTAAACAGAAGTATGTTTCCATGTTCACACTATAGCTTTTTAGTATGTTTTTATTTTTTAACAACAGTTTTTTAAACCCAGAGGTGAAATATGAACAATAATGAAGATGCTGCCTCTTCAGATCAAGCTTCTAGCTCATGGGCAGGCAACTCCAGGCCTCGAGTGGCGGTGTCCTGCAGGTTTTAGATCTGTCCTTGATCCATCACAGCTGATTTAAATGGCTAAATGACCTCCTCAGCATTTCTTGAAGTTCTCCAGAGGCCTGGTAATGAACTAATCATTTGATTCAGGTGTGTTGACCCACGGTGAGCTCTAAAACCTGCAGGACACCGGCCCTCGAGGCCTGGAGTTGCCTACCCCTGTTCTAGCTTATATCAAAATTTCTTTAAGGTTTGCTGTAATTGAATTTGTATTAATTAAGTCTACTGCTCTATTGCCAGCATTAAGAATATTTGTTAATTCATTTTTACATCAGGTTAGCTGGTGTAGGCTTGAGCCCCCAACCTCTGTCTCTGAAACAGACAAATAGAGACAGACAATCATTCTCATCTATGTCTAGTTTCAGATCATTGGGTAAGCCAACATGCATGTCTTTGGTGTGTGGGAGGACGTCGGAGTACCCATAGAGGGCCAACATACACACTCCACACAGAAGGACCCCAGCTGGTTGGTGGATTCAAACCTAGGATCTTCTTCCTATGAGATCAGCGTGCCAACAAGTTTGGTTGAAGTAAGGGGGAAATTTTGCAGACTGCTTTCTGGACATTGTAGTTTCAACACGGTAAAACAGCTGGCATCATACTGTTCTTCATCACACATTTCATTGACCTAACAACTTTTTCCATTGACACCAAGGAAAAGGAGGTAGGGAGTCGAGTTTGGACGATATGATCTTATGCCTGTTTTCATGCAAATCTCAACTTGTCATTACATTTTCTCTTATCAAGTTTCCCACTCAGCTGACCTGTAGTTTATATACTCCCAGCTCACAGTTGTGATTTCCTGATTTCTTTTCAAACCATGCCTTTTTGGTAAGTAATGCTCGCTCTTTACTCTGACATTTACTTTCACCTTTCATTTGTTTTTACTAATTATTTCACTTTGGCATTAATTAATCATTAGAAAAAATAAAATAAATAAATACAGCAAATTTGCAGACATTGTGTTAAACACGGCTAATTCCAGACATCAGTCTTTTTCTCAGGTATCCACTCACCTGTACCACCACCTCCTGAGAGATATCCACAGTGGGCCCATGGTGTCCCTGCCCAGCCACTGGGGGGCGTAGGAGACTCGGCCCAAACACAGTGGCAAGGTTTAGTAGAGACATCTTGTTAATGTGTTGCCTCTCTGAGATTCTGGAAGGAAAAAAAAAAAGATTGAAAACATTAAAAAGTTTTAGGCACAGACTGAAAATATCAGCTGATTTGTAAAGATAAAAAATAAAGTTTATATTTCTTACTTCCCGGTGTAAGGTGTTCTAGTTAACTGACCATTACGGCATTTTGTGCAGTTTGTTTAATGAGCTAAGTGTATTTTTTTTCATATTCCTACATATTTTTAAAAGTAAGCATTTTTCAGTTTTAACTAGCAGAGAGAGCAAAATTCACTCAAATAATTATCCTGAAGGTTAAACCAATATAACCATGTCATGGGTGAAGCTGTGGATTCATACCGTTGGAGGTGATACAGCAGGTAGAGGAAGGTGTGGCGGTTGGCATCAGGACAAGACTGCAGCAGGGACAACATGGAGACCAGCCGTGGGTTTTGTTCTTGGATGTCTACATGAAAATCAGCCAGGATGCAGTTAACTGAGTAGTGTCTGTGAGACTCACAGGGCATCATTTAAAGGTGCTGTTCATGTCAATAAAGCTTAGGGAAATAGGGTTATTGTTCACTTCTGCAGAAGGAATTTCAGGGTTTATATACAAACCCCTTTTCCCCTGTATGTAAAATAGAGTTTATATAAAAGATGGACGCTCCCCATTAGTTTGTATGGTGCCACAGTGAAATCTCCAAAGCATTTTGACTGTTGCCATATTGTGCTTTGAAAGCAGATGTGGTGAGCGAGGGGTGGTTCTGACAATTAAAGCACGTTACACAGCACAAGCAAAGCTTGCGAAAAAATTCACCGCAGATGTCATTTCCTAATCATTTTTTTCTGATTTCAATTTAAAACATGCAGAAGACAAAAGAATAATGTGAAATATTAATAACAATGCTAAATAATGTGGCAGCAGAAGCTACTGATCTCAATGCTCTTTTCTTTACCTTAACAATGTCTTGAAGATGCACCAAAATGCACACCATAGATACTTCACCTTGTGTGTTATCCTCTTGTTTTACTCAAATTCAATTACATTATATATATTTACCATTAAATCAAAACAAGCTCAAGGTAGCACTTTATATTGTAAGGTAAAGACTCTGAAATAATAGACAAAAAACCCCAACAGTCAGACAACACTATGAGCAAGCACTTGAACAGTGGGAAGGGAAAACTCCCTTTTAACAGGAAGAAACATGTAGCAGTGCCAGGCTCAGGGTGGGGTAGCCATCTACTGTGACCA